GATGGGGGTTAGGAGGGAGGGGAGGGTGGGTGATGGGTATTGAGGAGGGCACCTTTTGGGATGAGCACTGGGTGTTGTATGGAAACCAGTTTGACAATAAATTTCATATTATAAAAAAGAAAGGAAATGACATAATGTGCTTTGAAAGGAGCAGGGTGGAGTGATCATGGGACATAGTCATAAATTCCGGTCTCCTGCCACATCTCACAGCACATCACAGACCTCTTTTATTTAGATCCCTAGCAAAATGGAAGAGGAAGCAATAGTGACAATGGGGCTGTTACTTGGTGTAATGCATTTTGTCACTGCAGAGGTAACCTGAGAGCAAAAAACATGAGGAATGGAGTCTCTTCTATTTGCTGAATGCCTGTTGCACTGCAGTCTGGTTCCTCCAAAAGCACTAGACTTACATCAGACACCACCCTGTTATTTTAGAGTGTTAACGCAACTGTGTGTCATTCCCTGTGTATAAAATCTGATTTGACATAGTTCACAAAAATAGAAAACAACCAACTCTATTCTTGCAGCTTCAAATACATTAAGTTTTAACATCTCATACTGAGTTTGAATATAGAAAACATTTTATTTAGCTTAATGATATAGTCTCATGATTATGGAATACCTGGTTAAAGGGGCTTTCAGGGACATTCAGAAAATCCCATTGATCCCATCATTGCTAAAAACAACCCATTAGTATATGGTCTCATTTCATAATGACTATTAGCTGGACTTATGAAAAGGGATAAGGCAAGAAATTTCATTCTCCTGATTACCCGTATCTAAAATAAGTACAGCTATAAATATGCCAATACATATGTTGTATGATAAGGATTTTCTAGTACATGTGCTAGGGAGTGATATATGGCAGTTATTCTTGAAAAGTCAATTACAAAGAAAAAAAATACAGGTTGTCATTTCTAAGACTAGAAAATGTTATATCAGAGGGATTAAAATAAACATTCCTTAACATATAGGATAAGGGAAGCAATGGAAGTTAGATTTGGAAGGGAATTTAGGTATAATTTTATGCAATCTCTTCCCTTTAAAACTGAGGGATCCAAAGCCCAGAGGAGGAAATAGCTTACTTAAGGGCACAATCTAGTTCAGCCACAAGTCTCTTGACTCATAGTCGCTGGTGATTTCCCCTTTGCCATAATGACAAATTTCTATCAGGCTTCTGGGGAATTATTTCCAGGGCCAGAACAGTGAGTATATGAACATATACAGGTACTCAATGATTTTTTTTAATTGGATAACTGTATCTCTGTTCTGGTCACTGATATTCTTGAGAGTTAGAAGACCATCCTCCAGCACCTAATATAGCTATATAAAGCACAATGACTTTAGAAAAATACAATTTAGAATTCACCATATATTAATCTATTCATTATTTAATAAGAATTTCCCAACAATGAATAAGGGGTTATTAGCCCATTATTGTAGATTCAGTAAATTTGTATAACTTGTGCAAGGTTAAACAATCAGAAATGCTGGAATTTGAGCCCGCTTTTGGTCCTCTGACTCCAGAAGTCATGCTTTCTTTGCTAGAGCTTATGGTTTCTCCAGGATGTTTATAACCTCCAGAAAAAGAAAAAGAAACCTGTGAGGGAAGAAGTAGGGAAGAAGACAGGGAGGAGAAGGAGATCAGAAGTGGTGTGAGGTTCTTATGGAGAATGCTGGTGCCTAAAAGAAATCAGGGTTCGCATAATAGACGAAGGATTTGTGTTTTCCTTTGGTAGATCTGTTTGCGGGCTCCAAGTCTGGGTTGGCTCCCAAGAGGAAAGAGCAAGGTTGGACAACTAGGAAGGAGGTGTTTTCTTCTAAGTGTGTTTGAAAGGCAGTGGGGTGGGAAAAGCACAACTATGGGAGTCAGGACACCTATATTTTAGTCCCAATCCCTTAGATAGACAAGGTGCTTAGAAACGGTCCTTGTCATTTTGTGCCTCAGTTTTATTTGTTTAAAATGAGGTATGTTCAATTTCAAGATTCTCAAATGTTTTTCTTCCTTTACATCAATTCCCATTGGTAGAGGCTGCCAATAATTTGAGAAATGCCTGAAGTGAGATTCTGTAAACTGAGATTGCAAACCACTTTCTTGCCTGTAAAAACCTGATTGCCTTTTTTTTTTCAATCAAAAACAACTTTTTATGCATTCTTGACTAATCACATAAAGTGATCATACATGTGATTGATTAGCTTACTAAGTTGGGTTATGAAATTATTCTCCCAGAATACTTTAGAAGAGTGATTTTTCCCTTTTATACCTTGGCTATATCTGATAGAAGTTTCATAGGTGGCAAAAAATTACAACTGATTTCTAGGGTATATACCGTTATTAATATCACCACTGATCTTGGATTAGTAGATTTCATCAGGAGTCACTATCGATACATTCAAGGGAATTGTTGGTTTATTTTGCCATTTTTCTCAGAGACTTTTAGGCCAGAGATTTAAAAAAAGTTTTTTAATGTTTGTTTGTTTTTGATAGAGAGAGAGAGAGAAAACATGAGTGTGGGAGGGGCAGAGAGAGAGGGAGACACAGAATCCGAAGCAGGCTCCAGGCTCTGAGCTGTCAGCACAGAGCCTGATGTGGGGTTTGAACTCACTAACTGTAAGATCATGACCTGAGCTGAAGTCAGACACTCAACCAACTGAGCCACCCAGGCGCCCTTAGGTCAGAGATTTTAAACTAGAGTCAAAAGATTTGGGGGGTACTGAAAGAGTGAAGAAATTCCAAACATTATCTTTATCTGAATCTATTTTACTATGTAAATAAAGTCCAAATCTATCAACTACATAGTCAACCACTGGGTTAAGTTCAGAAGTTTTATCACACATCTAGCTTTTTTTTTTCACTTTCATAGTGTTCTGGGGTATTTGTGAATGTACAGAAATTAATTGTATGATTTTATCCTTTACCTAGAGTTTTAACTTAGTGTTGGCGGTGTGTGAAGAATTTTAGGGGATTTATAAAGACTCTAAAATAATAGGAAAATTTGGGGCATACATGAGTTTGTGGATATAGCTATCAACAGTTTCCCAAAAGGATAAGGTGACAACAAAGGTTTGTTTTCTTTTTTTTAAAGGTGACAACAAAGGTTAAAGGACCACCACTCTACATATCTTACAATAACGTCACAATTCAGGTATTTCTTTGGTAAAATGGGAAGTTGATTTGAATTTTAGTCTTAAAATTTTTAATAAACCCATAACCAAATGAGGGTTAATAATAAGTATATGATACCTCTTTTATACTTGATTCTTAAAAACAAACAAAACAAAATCCACTATGGTGCAAGTTATTGTTGATATAAATTAAAGGTAACCTAAAGAAGTGAAGATATATCATGTTCATGGATTAGAGTGTTAGATCATTTTAAGATACTGATTCTCCCCAAATTGATCTATGAGTCAATGCAATCTCAATTATAATTCCAGCAGATACTTTCAGGTAGAAATCAACAAGCTGATTCTACAAGTTATAGGTAGAAGCAAATGGTCTAGAATATCTATAGCAATCTTAAAGAATAAATACAAAGTTGGAGGACTTACACTACTTCATGATTTATCATATAGCTATTGTAATTAAAATAGTGTGATACTGCTGGTGAATAGACAAATAGAACAATGGAATAGAATAAAGCCTAGAATTAGACACCACCCCCCCCCCCCCCCCCCACTTATCCAGTCAAAGGCACCAACACAATCTGGTGTGAGAAGAAAAATCTTTTCAATAAATTATAAAATTGGACATTCATATGGAAAAAAATTAAATCTCAACCTCTACCTTACATGAAACACAAAAATTAATTCCATATGGATCATATACCTAAACACAAACACTGAAAGAGAGACTTAAGGGAATGAAAACACTATGTATCTTCTCAAAGTCACTACAAAATATTTTCCTCCTACTTCAAAGTATTGTTTCCCAATTCTCTTTCATAATTAAGTAGCTATACCCAACACTTAGAACACATTTCAGTTCAGTCTGGGTGGCTCTGAGCCACTAGCAATTTGCTAAAAAAGGATATAACTTCTACAGTTAAGTTAGATATAAAATCTGGCAAACATACATTTTCTTATTCCTATGTTTATTATTTGAAGTTTAGGGCAAATAATTCACTTACCTTGATGAACAAAGTTGCCTAGACTTAGTTCAAATGATTCCAAAAGAGTTTTTTCTGGTCTTTAATATAACTTTGTTACATAGATGAAAGTGTCTATATATTCTCCTACTTGCTTCTCTTCCCTCGGCCCATTTCCAAAAGTAAAAAATAAAACATAACAACAATAACAACAGCAGCAGCAACAGTGAATCATACAACACAAAGTCATTTACCGGAGTCCGTAGAGAACTGTTCCATCAGGATGCAGTCGGATCATTCGATTCTTCACTGTAACCCCATGCACAAATGATTTCTTGTCATTCAGAAAGTAGGTGTCTGGCACCCAGAGTTGGTCAGCTACCCTGTTGTCTAGCGTGAGATTTAGTGGGATTCCAGAATAAGAAAGCCTTTTGTCTTTCCAAGATTGCTGGAAATACATGGTGAGTGTATAATCCTGTGAAATAAAGGAAACAAAAAATTGGACTCTCATCATCGTCATCAAAGGCCTTCTGTATGAAAGTGATAGTACGTAGTATTGTGTAATCCCAGAGATCCACTGTCCTGCTGTCCCTGAAGAAGTTAAACCTGAATACACTGAAATTTTCACCTCCAAGTATGGGACAACCAGTAGGTTAGAAGTGTTGGAGTAATAATTGAATGCATGGACAAGAATTCCTTCCAATGTAGGGTAAATCCATTTAAATGAATTTTAAGTTTTGAAGTTAAGGTCATGATCACCAGGAGGGTCACAAAGGAAAGTTGTACTGAAAGATCCATGTTCACAAAAATTAACATCTGGATATTATAGTTATGGTACCATTTTGGAGGGGAATGTGTGCTCAATAATAACTTAAAAATTTATGCACTTAAAAGGAGAGGGTGTTTTCTAAATTGCCTCTTGAATGAATACTGCTGTTTGTCTTATAAGCGTCATCAATTACCATTATCTGGATCTTTCTAGCAAATTACAACTTGTCTAATCATACTAAAAATCACCTTTGGATGGAGATAATCATTTGGCCTGAGAACTGAAATCAGCTGTGGAACTGCTCAACCATTTCTCTCTTACCTCACTCTTGCTTTGCTTTAGAAATTGGTTTGACGTCAGAGTTGGGTTTGTATTTGAGTTTGTTTCCAAACCTCTTGTACAAGATAACACTAAGGACTTCCTTTTTTGCATTTTTTTTCTGCCCAGGCTTCCCCTGGCAGTGAGAGTCAGGAAGATTTGGGTTCAATAAATAGATCAAGCTACTGGAAAGGGACTGTGATGATTATCTTAGAGTTTTAGTTGTTGTCTGTTTTTAAAGAACTTCATTAATATAAAGTGTAATTGTCCATTAAAAAATGGTAGCAGTAAAATCATAAAGTCTTTAAGATGTGAGTCTCAAGAGTTCCCTTTTTCTTTTAAAGGTTATTTATCTGTCAGTAGTGATTGTGAATAAAGTTAAGAAAACACTACAGACTCCTGAACAATGTTTGTGTCCTGCCATTGTTGCATATACCACTAATTGAGAAACATTGATTCACATCATGCCTTACATCTGGGCAAACCGCACTTTATATAGATCCCTTTATGGATCTGTATGCCATTTCTGAAATATCCCAAAATATAAGACAATATTCATTCTGGATAATGAGCTCCAATGTCCTTTAACCATTATATTCAAGAACACTCACCCTGTTTACTCAAGTGGCATCTTGCAATAATTCAAAGCCATTCTTTCTTGTTCAATGACAAGGACATTAGCTCTTCACTATTAATCACACAATATCCCTTAAAGCTCTAAAATCTCCTTCCACTTTACCTTCATTTAACAGAAAAGAAAATCCACAGGGTTACATACACTTCCTTTCTCAACCGCTAATATTCTCATTTGCATTCTCTTCAATTTTTTTACCATAGCACCTTTTTGGAGGAAAAATGAATTGAACAGATTCTGGGCCTTAGATTTCAAAATACCTTGATTCCAAAGCCTATGACATGTAGACCTATGTAACATGAGTAACTAACTTAACCCCTTGTATCTCTGATGCCTCGTTTTTTTAAATTAATTAATTAATTAATTAATCTTAAATTTGTTTAACATCTATTTATTTTTGAGAGACAGAGCACAAGTGGGGGTGGGGCAGATAGAGAATGAGATAGAATCCAAAGCAGGCTCCAGGCTCTGAGCTGTCAGCACAGAGCCCAACACCGGGCTCAGAACCACAAACCATGAGATCATGACCTGAGCAGAAGTCTGATGCTTAAATGACTGAGCCACCCAGATGCCCAATCAGATGCCTCATTTTAAAGATGAAAATAATATCATTTACTAGCACTCACAATGTATTGTGAACATTACTTGGGAAATTATGGTGAAAGCTCTTTAGAAACTGTAATATGCTAAACAAATATATGATCTTCAAAATTATTGCTATTTAAAGATTGATATCATACTTCCAAATTACTTTGAGTGTGCATATTCATTTTCATAAGCATTTCTATTTTTAAAGAGATGTTTATGAAAAAAAACTTACAGGCAGAAGGACCCCAATGACCACGAAAATAAGCAATTGTCTGTGATCAATTGTAAGTCTGGGTGTTCGGTTCTTATTTGTAATTCAGCCAATGTAAGAAAAGTAATAACTATCCAAAGACATGTTATTGTAAACTTTGCCATGATGATCAGCACAGTCAGCAGTGGAAAACATGTTTTAGTACTCATGCTGAATAGCCATTAGCTTCCAGACCTTCACAGGTGATACAAAGGATTTCCTCACAATGAGAACATGGGGCAAAATCCTTACACCAACTTTCCCTCAATAAAGTTTTAATATGTGATGGGGAAAAACTTATAAGGGATTATAATGGCAAACAATACTCTGATAATAAATGCTATAATTAAAATATGAGTTTGTGGTAAGTAAACAACGGAGAGTAGAAAGGAGGAAATAATGTAAACATGAGTAATCTCTGTGTAGATTTGAGTGTGCGTGTGTGTGTATGTGTGTGTGTGAGTGTGTGTGTGTGTGTGTGTGTGTGTGTGTGTGTGTGTGCATTTGCATAGACTTTTCCCTTTCCCTTTCTGGAAACTGTTTTGTTTCCTGTAAAGACAGAATTCTACACATGCAGTGAGATCTTTGCTCTCCACAACTCGCTCTTTTTTTTACTAAATAAGGACTAAACTTCGCATCCTGCTTCTAAATTAGAGCAGTAATTTACCCTATTTTCCAGAAGAAGTAATTCAGTGAAAATGTACTTATGCTTGTATGTTACATTTGGAAGTGGGTGATGTGGCACAAGTAGTTTTCTGCACTTGTCTTAGGTATGTCTAGCATTATTATCTTAATCCATGACATTCCCATGAGAAATGAACATATGGACATATGAGATTGATATCCTTAATGAAAACTTTTGGAAGAGAATGGTAGTTTGGTTGTGGTGATAATGATGATTATGGAAAGATACAAAATACAGCCGTGTCTCTTTTGTACTATGATGTATGATGTACGATGGCACAAGCATCACAATAATCTCTTTCTCCTGGAGAAGGCTCTGTGGTTTTTGTAGTCTTTCCAACCCCATCACATTTTGTTCTTACAACCTCACGAGACAAGCAAATTCTCTCTGAGAGAATTTACTATTTACAGGTCAGAGAAACGATGTACTGTATTTAAAAAATTTTTTTTTTCAATGTTTTATTTTATTTTTGGGACAGAGAGAGACAGAGCATGAACGGGGGAGGGGCAGAGAGAGAGGGAGACACAGAATCGGAAACAGGCTCCAGGCTCTGAGCCATCAGCCCAGAGCCCGACGCGGGGCTCGAACTCACGGACCGCGAGATCGTGACCTGGCTGAAGTCGGACGCTTTAACCGACTGCGCCACCCAGGCGCCCCGATGTACTGTATTTTAAAGAAATTATTCTTTCTATCTGCATCTTAATAGTAATATTAACAATGACATCTGAATATAGTAAAAGTCTATGACTTGTTTTGGTATACTACGTTTTTAGACAGAAAAGCAAGGTTTAAAACTGCTGCATTTTGTTGTCTTGTACACCAGATTTTCTATTATTTCTTTATGAATCAAGGTGCAAGCACTCAAGGGAGAATGGAAAATCTTGCAGAAAGAAATTAAAGGTAGCAATACGTTGAGCAAGAACACTAAAGCCTTTTCTCTTCTGGGTGTATTTACAAGTATTCAACCAGCTTTCTCAAGTATGCAAGCTACTCTGAGAGAGGAAGAAGAGCAACGGATTTAGAAACTATGGGCCATCGGGGATTCTCTGACACTGAAGCAAATTAATGGGATTAACGGGTTTGAGTTGGCTAATGAAATTGGTCAGGCTGATTCAGGGATGAGAGAATGTGATTCATTGAGGAAAAGCAAGACAGATGATACCAAATCAGTAGTGCTCCATTAGACTCCAAAAGGACATATTTTTTATAAACCTAAAAACGTTAAGGGAATAAGAAATTATTTATCATAAAAAAAAACCATGGGGGAGGGGAAGGAAAAAAAAAGAGATGGAGGGAGCCAAACCATAAGAGACTCTTAAAAACTGAGAACAAACTGAGGGTTGATGGGGGGTGGGAGGGAGAGGAGGGTGGGTGATGGGTATTGAGGAGGGCACCTGTTGGGATGAGCACTGGGTGTTGTATGGAAACCAATTTGACAATAAATTTCATATTAAAAAAATAAATAAAAAAATAATTCTTGTGGAGAACAAGGGTTAAATCAGTGGTTTCAAACTCAAGGCAATGTTGCTCCCAGAGGACACATAGCAACGTCTGGAGATGGTTTTGGTTGTCACAACTGGGAGTGATGATATGTGCTACTGGCATCTGTGGGCGGAGGCCAGGGGTGCTCCCTCTCAACACACACGTAATGCACTACCCAGCACAGACCCCACAACAAAGAATTATCTGGCTCAAAATGTTAATAGTGCCAAAGCTAAGAAACCCTGCCTTAGATGAAAATATCCTTCCTTTTAATATCAATAAAATATTTCAAAATCCTCTACCATTATTTACCATGAAAATTGTGTATATTCACTGGTCTACTTGGGCTTTTAACATATTCCTCAAAACTTTGTGCTAGGGAATTCTGACATTGGATGGTTTATAATTTGCCACTTTACCATAAGAAATCATTTGGTAAAAATGCATTATCTTGCATTGGAATAGGGAAAAAGAGTTGTGTGTTTTATTGGGGTATGCCTGTGACTAGAATGAGCTCTTAGATGTTATGCTGGGCTAAAAAAGTGGTCTTTTATGAGCTGCCTCCACAACCAGCACATCTCAGGCTGGTTGACTTGTTAGTGAAGAGACAAAATATTGCTTTAACGTCTAGTAATATTGCATTCACACAGAAGGATCATACGAACAATCCCTTCTTTTCAAACTGTTCTCAGGAAAGGGGATGTGTGTGTGTGTGTGTGTGTGTGTGTGTGTGTGTGTGTGTGTGTGTTCGTGTGTATAAAACAACCAGTGCTCTCGCAC